TACCTGAATAACCAGATAATTTAATAATACCTGGGTAGAGATTTTCTTGATGAGTACAATCTCTAGATAAGACAATTCTAATTAAATAAAACAATTCTAAAAAAAGAGGTGTACTACTATTTGGGAGTACAAACAGGAGTAAAGAGTAATTTAAAATAGAAAAAAATAGAGAATGAACTTAAACTATAGTAAATTTTTTAATATTCAACTTACTTTCTATGAAGTTCAAGCTTATTTAAATAATCTTTTTAATGATTTTGCTAACCTGTTTGCAAATAACTATTCCATCTTTTTTATCTTACAATTTAATTATATAAATCTTTACAATTTATACTCTACTTTTTTTTGAAAAAATACTTTTATTAAAAGCCTTACTAGATATTTTATTAAACCAATTTGCAAAGTATATACTATTGTATTATAGTTTTCTCAATAGCATATTTAGAAATAGTTATACTTTTCTTACCTAATTAACTAGTAGACTTTTTGGCTATACTTCAATAACAACCAAAAAAATCTCATATAACTTCACTAATTTTAAACTAAATAATCTTAAATTTTTTAAAATTAAGTTGCTTCTAAATATTTTACCAACTAATTCTTATTTTCACTCTATATACTCTTCTATATTCTTATCTTCTAATTGCTTTTACTATAATAACTTAGATACCCTCTCTCACTGATATACATGCCCTAACAATACTTTTCTAATTCAAAATATCAACTTTTTAATTCATAAGATTATTTCTAATACTAGCCTTAATCTTACTTCATACTAATTTAACAATCTAATATATATAATCTCTTTATATTTCTCTTTTAATCTCTTATCTTTTATATTATACAGTATCCTTATTTACTTCATTTTATACTTAAAGACCTTATCCCTAAACCTCTAATTCAATCTTTTAACTCTTTTGAGATTTTTTATTTACTTGCCTTTCAACTAATTATACAAATACTTCTTAAAGTTTCTAACTTAACTTATAATAATATATAGATCTTATACTGTACTAACTTTTTACAATAAAAAAAAGCTTACTAAATCTTTACTTGCTTTATACTTAATATATTACTTTACTTTTTCTTATCTTATATCTATAGAAGAAACAAAGCTATATCTATTATTAGCTGCTCTTGTAGCTTTGCTAACTATTTATACTCTGAATCTAAAACCTGTTTTTTACTAAAACAAACTTCTCTAAAGCTAAATATTTGGTCCACTATGTGAATTAAATATAGTATATCTATTAACCATATCCTATCTATTTAAATCTAAATAAGTTTTGATCACTCTAGTAGGCTTAGGTTACAGATAAATTAGTCTGAGCTTTTATTCTTGCATGTAATTTATATTTATTTGTTAGTATACAAATTAAGTTTTTATATAGTCTTATGTAATTACTTATATAAATTATTAAATAAAGATATAAGCAAAGCCTCACCTTAATACCAAAAAAAAAAAATTATTATATATTTAGTATATTTATTTTGAATAAAATTTTTTATTTGCTGCATTTTTTTTGAATTATATATATATTTATGCATGTTTTAGAGTTTTATTTGTTCATAATATCTCAAAATTTTTTAAAAGTTTTTGACTTAAATATATTTCACTATGTTTTGAATTTACTATGCATAAATGTTCATAATAATTACCATATAAAATACTCTGAAGTTAGTAGAGTATAAACTTTCAAATTTATTATACCTACATAATACTTTGAAGTATGTAATTGTAAGTTTTTCATAATATTACCCCTTGTATAAAAACTTATGGAGGTTTATATATATATTTTTTTGCCGATGTAGTTCTTATTAAATATATTTGACCAAATTTGGTGCATTTGATGAGAATTAATTTGGAGTACTATATTATTTTCTAATCGAGATTAAAAAAGAAATATTAAAAATGCAAGATAACTTATATCAAATATCTTTAAGTTATTGTTTATAATATAATCATGTAAAATTTTTTGGCTTGATATTTTTGTCGTAAAATAACATCATTTTGCAAAATATCACGCCAAAGAATTTACTTGATAATATAATATAAACAGTAACATCAATACTGGTACAAAAATTTTTTTTTATCGGAGCTCATGTCACCATATGCCGCTACGCTGCACGTGGGGAGTGACACGAACTCTGATGAAAAATCATCGTATGACCAATATATTATAAATCTTGGTATTCAAAATTATAATATAGTACAGGTTTTTATAGTATAATACAATATATATATATTTTTTAAATATAAATTATATATATATATATATATATATATATAACTTATATATTAATAATATTTTTTTAAGGTTAACGTTAATAATAGATTTGATTAAAAACTACCTAAAATAAATAAAATCTTTTTTTTCAAATTTTAATATAAAATGGTCGGTTTAGTGATGAGACCTCTTGATTAATAATTTATACACTGATGAATATAAAAATATATTATCTACGTACGTGTTGAAATCAGGACACAAAATTTCCGGGTGATGTAATATGCTTTTTTTCAAATGGTTTTTTAAAATCGAAATCTAGATGCTCGGACCGGAAATTGTCACATGCAAACGGAAATCTCTGCTATTTTACAATAAGATTTGTGCCCTGGTTGGAATAGTTTCTTCATTTAGAATCAGTAATATATATCTACATTTTGGAATAGTTCTTAGTTATTTATGAATATATGAGCTAGTGCACGGCAAAATCAAACAAAAACTTGATTTGCAAGTTTTTGAATATATCAATTTACTGTATTGGGCATTAAATACAATTTTATTTTTAGTAAATATATAAATCTAACAGGCATCCGATCTTACTATAGACTTCGTGGTAACTTAACATGAAGTTTAAAGTCAGATTTAAGTCAGATTAGAGTAAAAATAGATTTTGTAATTGCAACATAACTGTAAATCGATAGATTCAAAAAACTTGAAAATCAAGTTTTTGATTTTGCCGAGCACTAATATGAACGCTGCTAAGGCGTTCGGACTTGGAAAATTTAACATGATAGATAATTGAAAGCATTTTCCCCTTGGCAGCACTCATATTTGTCATCATCCTCTATTTTAATTGTTGTAAGTGGGAATAGAATTTAAGTTAAATTAGGATTATTATGGTATATGATAAATACCGGTTTTATATAAAAATTCCGAATCCACCTAAATTGCGTTTCCACTTTTAGGGTAACATTTTTGAAGTTCGTTTGATTGGTTGATTCGACTGGATAAAAGTTTTATTGGCATCGATATCTTTTAACATTCAAAAATCAGAAATCTTAATGTAGTAATTCCGTGCTATATATGAGTTGTCGGAATCGCTCCTAATAAAAGTTGGTGAAACACAAGATCACTCAAGATTTCAGACGATTAAATAAATGAAAAATCTTTTTTGATACATAAATCTTGATATTTCTACTATAAATTATGTAAAGAGGGTGATTTATTAATAAAATGAAACTTCAAATATGATTAAGGATGAAATTAAAGACGTTAATGGCCTGAATCAATAGATCTTTTTAGTATGGGACTAGTGGTCCAGACCACTATTTCCATAATAATTGGTCCAAATCATTAACGTCTTAGTATAAATCTCTTACAAAATGTTCATGTGACAATGAATTTTATTGGTGACGCTGGTATCATTGTTAACAAAAGGGCTCCTAGTATTAGGGACTATTCATATCTACAATTGATATCACATGATAGATATCGAGCAATATCAGAAAATTGGGCATGAAAAATTTGAATATTGGGTGATTTACAATCTTCTGTAGCTACATTTAGTTTCATTATTGATTAGTCTTTAAAACATATCAATTAACATTTAATTAAAAACCGGGATTATAGAAATCTTTATATTTTGTTCAACAGATTATGTAACATCATAAAATGTGGAGATTTTTCCACTGTGTTAAGATACTACGGTTTTAAGTTACATGATATATCAGATATGAACAAAGTTATCAGTCATACGAACGTACATATGTGTGCACGCATGTACTTGAATCTCTTTAACGTTAAGGCTAGATTCGGAAGCTTGCGATCCCCTATAGGGTGGTATCAGACAAATACGATAAGAAATAATAAATTCAATTGGTCAATAGAAATTTGTGAAATGCAAAACTAAATTAAATTACTAATTTAAATTTGGATCCTATGAAAATTTGATGCAACCCTATCTTGCGTGACGGTCAATGACCCTACTTTTTTTAAGGACAAAAAGTGAAAATTAATTATTGAGCATTATCGCGTAATTAATTTTGTTTGTTTTTGATACTTGAGACAATTAAAACCAGACCATCACACAAGTTTCTTAATAGTCTACAACAAAGTTGCATTACGTTCCTTTTTAAGTTGCGACACAAAACTGGTTGACTAATACGAATCTATGAATTGCAAAGTTGTACGAGTATTTTTATATAAATTATATGAGAATTTTGCTGAAATTGTTCCTGCATCTCGAGTTGGACCGCGCAACCAACATTTCTCCTTTCTCTTCCTCATTTGATGCGTTCTCCCCACTCCTTATTTTTCGTATTGGACTATTTTCCTTTTCTTTTCCTAATATTTGTACATATTTCTTTTCTTATTACTACATTAATGTTTATTATCAAGTGTATGTAAAATATTAATAATTAATAGTTTGATTTTTCTTATTTCTTATTCTTTATTCTCGGTAAAAAAAAAAAAAAAGAGCATACATCTTGTCCAATGAAATAGTATTCATTAATGAAAAGTATTTAATTTTATTTATTATTATAATAATCTTTATTCTCATATTCATTCGTTACATATGTACAACTTTTTAAAAGAATAATGGTTCATTTAAATAACAAATTCGCTCTTACCTGTGAAAATATATATTCAAATGATTTAAATATAACAACGTTACGATGTATTTGTGATTTTAGAATAAATTATAGAGGTTGCGAAGAGGAAAATGTGCTCTTATTGGTACACAAATTATTGATTCCTTATTCAATCTTTATCATCATGATTTCACTTGGATTTATATATCATCGAATGGTTTGTAAAGGGCAAACCTTTTTATTACCACACACAACCACTCGAGAAAGAGGTATTTTAAGATTAAGGCCACAAGAAACATTTCACCTTACAACAATTGTATTTAATATGCGTAAGTTTCTTTCTTTTTTCTCCCTTTTTTTTTTGGTCGACCATCAAGGATTCCATGCGCCTATTAGTGAAACGTAATTACTGCGCCATTTATTAAAAAATATATATTTTTATTTTTTTTAGTTAGTGTGATGCACATGTCACTGGTTTTATCCGACTCGTATGTAGTTTTTACATTTAATGCTTTGTCATATATTGAAATTTGCTCATTACTAAAAGAAACTCTTTAGATATCCGAGCTCTTTAATGGCAGAAAGTAAGTTATAACTTTGATAATTTATTCATTTTTATTTGTACACATGTATATACGTACGTACGTACGTATGAACGAACAGTTAAATTTCTATATCAACATATGTAGTTGGACAAGATTTATCACGCGAAATAAGTATTGGATTGGCATTAATCTACCCAATAAGTATAAGTGAGTTTTCCTATTAAAGAAACTACTCAACGCTAGATAACAATAATACCCCTTACTAGTACTATATGAGTCAAATGAAAACCATCAACAAAAAATTTGCTGCAAAAGGGATATTACACCAATTTTATTAATTTTTATTACAGTTTCATAAATAAACTAATACATATTTTATCTTTAGTATATTCTACTCCAGCTCTCAAATTTAAATCGAAAATACCGGATGGGGTGTCACGAAAGCAGCCAAATAAATTTATTGTTGATGCAATTGGATTTTTTGTATTGATTGCACCTTTTGCAACATTATTTCCATTTGCCTGTTTAACTGGTTATTGGGCAAATGTAGATTATTCTTTAGCATTATTATATACAGAAGCTCATTACATAATTTTGGCTTTATGGGGTTTAATTTTTTTAGGCTCTGTAATATATTTTTGGTGTAAATTAATTTTTATAATATGGAATCGTATTATCGAATTGAAGAAAAAGGAATGTAATGGAAGGTCAGATATAGGATTAACCGTTTCAACTTTACAACAAGTTGCAAGAAATGTATGTATTAATGCTTTAATATATATATATATATATATAATATATATATAATATATATGTATATTTCTTTTTTTTTTTTTTTTTTATGAAGCAAATTAAGTTCTTAATTTTCAATTCATTTTATTAGTTATGCCTCGCATCATTTGTTTTAGTTGTAGCAATGTTGTTACATATCGTCACAGTCTTGTCGTATTGTGCTATTCACAAGGACATGGCATCATTTAGCCCTAACGTTAACATTGGTTTCATGATAGCTTGGGATTGTACTATACCAGTTGTCCAAAACATAATTCAATGCATCTTTCTATACAAGTAAGAAATTTCATATTTACATAGAAATTTTTATAGGAACTTTTAATAATTTATCGTAAATTAATTTTTTAGTTGTTTAAGGCCAATGCCCAGACTTCCAAGTTCATCAATTAGTGATACATCTTCACCAAATAGATCGTATAGACAAAGCTTTCGAATTAGTCAATTATTTCCTAGAAGAGATACTGATAGACGATCATCAACAATTTGTGATGAAGAGGCCTCAACAACAGGTGGTGCTCGTGACTCTATAATAAATTCACAGTCAATTCAGCCTTTAACAAATATTATCACTGAAAAACCAGTTGCAAATCTGAATCATATTGACATGCATCGAGATAGTAAAACAAGCATTAAAGCTATTCAAGCTGAGGAAGTAAAACATGATTCAATACAATCAATGAACAGTTTAAAATCAATATCAAAATCATCAAAATATGGTAGCGTTAGAAATAGCGCTAAAAATTCAATATCAACACTTTCTGATTTAAATATTCCACCAGAAGAAAATGGTTTAGCAATATATCCAAGTTCTTTGACACCAAGAAATAGTTATTGTTTAAATCCTAATCTTAATCGGCTTTTACAACTCAATCTAGATGAAATAACATTAAATAATACTCTTCAACCTCCTCATATATCTGATTTTACAAGAAAAAATCCTGGTTTGCGCCATCACAGAAGTCAAGATAGTTCAATGGGTTATATTGCTGAAGAGATATTGGATGACGATCTAGATAATAGGCAACTCTATAATAGTAACAGTGATCAAAATAGTTATAATGAGAGTCGGCATAGTGAATTAGACGGCAGTTCGTCGGTTTCTTATGACGCCTCAAGTTCAACGATAATAAGTCCTGATGCGGCAGCATTGGCCAAAGCTTCATGGGCAAAATCAGAGGAAGATCTTGGTATTTATAAAGGAAGTATTAATGCTAGTAGACATACATCTAGAAGCCATACAAGTTTAGTATTACAAAGAGATTCTATATCAATATATTCAGATACTAACGATAAACAAGAATGGTTGAAAAGACGACCTATGTCACCTCTTGTTAGAAAAGTAACAATTCCAAGATCAGGTCTTGTTATAAAAACCGATTATTAAATGAAATTTTGATAATTTCTTGTACAGTCTCTTTTCATTATACCAAACACATCACGAAATTGTAATTTACACATTTTATACTTTAGGGAAAGCATAGTCATACTAGTAAATAAAAGTCATCATTATGTATAATTATAGATATATGTATAAAAGAATTTGTAATAACAGTGATTTTTTTTTTAAAAAAAAAAGAAAAAAAATACAAAAAAAAACAAATCAATATTAATAATGTTATAATAAATTAGTCTAATTTTATGTGCAAATTCAAACCATGCCAACTGATAAGTCTGCAGTATCGTACGTATATGTTGTGTGTATCGGCCGCCAGTTTAACCGAATCAGTCAACTAAGTAACAAATAAACAGGTAAGTATATTGCAATCCTTTTCTTTTAAATAGACGTTATCACGCACGAGAGAGACAAGAAAACTGACATTATTATGTACGTACGTAAGTATGGACAGTACGTACAGTACATGCTCGTAGTAGCATACACCATAAGTACAGTAGTACGTACAAAGAATTCTGCTTTTATATTGTAAACGATATGTTTTTTTGCAAGGCAAAGTGTACTGAGGCAATCTACACTAATATAAAGAGACAACTAAACTTATAATTAGTTTATTAGTTTAAAGATAGTAAACTATAGACATAATGGGCATATTAAAGGTTTTCGATGAACATCAGGCACATTATATTGTAATTGGGTGTCAATAGTTGTTCTTTGAGAACCTTGATAAATCAAAGTAAATATTCGATAGCTGATAGAATTCATTCTTCTTACTCAAGCACTAATTACATTAGATACGTGGCGATATATAAGAATTTTTCAGTTATTGTCGGAGTTAAAGAAACTACCATCTCGTTTTAGAGCAATACTATTTTTTTTGTCCGAATCTAAAAAGAGCGGTTCATAAAATTGGGAAAACATGAAATTTTGGCAAACATGAGCTGCAACACAAGTGGCTAGAAGATAGTTTATCGCCCAAAGTGCACTACTTCGAGTCGCACTTTGGCGAGAGAATAACTCAAGTGATCAAAGTGGCTTCTAACAAACAAGTTTTTTTTTTTTTTTAACCGTTTAAGATACTTCTTTCAGAGGCAGTAGACCTTAAAGGGGGTAATTTTTTTTTTTAAAAAAAATACATTTTACGAGACTTCTCAAATTCTTTCACTTGTATTCATGTCATCCGATCGATATAATATTCGGGAATTTTTGGACTCCAATTATCAAATATTTCGCTAACCTTTGAACGGAATAGAATGACGCGTACAGTAATCGACCAGTCAAATCATTCAGTTCGAGATTAACCCAAACAGCACTAAAAAAAAGTATTAAATTTTTGAAAACACAAACTTGATTAGATAAACCCCAAAAAATAAAAATATAAAAAAAAATAACAATATATCCGTATTATTCGGAGTCCTGCCCAATGAAGCATAAAACATTAAAAAATATATATGGCTATCTAATCTATCACGGGATACCTATATACCTACTAACCCAAACCAAACCTAAAGTTAATACCAAAGAATAATTTTGCCAATTTCATGTAACCTATCTTTTAGACGTCTGATTTATTTAGTTGTAGTTAACTCCGACTTCGATTTATTCTGTTGCATCACGTGACTAGACGAATGCTAGCTGGTACAAAATGCAACTTTAAGTGCTCTGATCGATTATAAGGAGCATGCATAATAAAAAAATAAGCTTTGGATAAAAAAATAATATACAATACAATATTTACATTATCTGTTATATTATATTTTAATACGTATTATATTATTATATGAAAAAATCTATTTGTAACAGCCTGTTACGCGCTTATTTGTAACAGCCTATTAATGTTAGGGTTGGCATTAGGGTTAGTGTTAGGGTTAGTGTTAGAGTTAGGGTTAGTGTTAGGTTAGGTTTAAAGTTAGTATCAAGATTAATACAAAATTGCGAGAGGATCATTTTTCGTTAGTAACGCAAAAGAGATTATCTTAGTAAAATTTTGAGTTATAAGCAAACTGTTACAAATAAGCGTGTAACAGGCTGTTACAAATAGATTTATCCTTATTATATTATATATATTATATTATATTATTTGTTATTTGTATTATGCGTAGTATATATATTTTTATTAACATAAAATTCGGCTCGCTTGTTAATTTTTAAATAATCCTTCACCCATGATAATATATTTATTTAATTAAAGTTTCTAAATATTGATAGAGTATTACTTTATAATTTATTATAAAAATTTTTTACATCTCATGCAAAATGAATAAATTGCTAATGAACCAATTATGTAGGAGGAAAATTAAATAATTTTTCTGAATGATTAATGAGTGGGTGAGTTTAGTCTTGTTACAAATAATTAAATCTAAGAAAAAAAAAAAAAACTTAATAATTGAATGAAATGAACAAAATCAATACAGCATTACATTATGTTACTCATAAACCATTTTCTTTTAGTCAGATCCATTTGCAGGGGTAGAGAAATAATCATTCTTTACGGCTATCTGTGGAGCAGGAACAAATGATCGTTCAGTATTTGACGTATTTACCAAAGTATAAGTAGTAGTATTCGTATTTGAATGTGAATAATCCAATTCTGCGATGGGTTGTTTTTCTATATTGTCCACATCTGAAATAGAAGTTTGGTCGTTTCGATTTGAATTTTGAATAGTCTCTGGATTCTTGATCAAATCATCAATTTCTTTTATAATTTTTGGTGTCGTTAAAACTTTTGCATCTTGATCATAACAAAAACTATTACGGCTATAATTGGTACTCTGTATGATGATTCTTTTGTCGATATTTTTTCTCAAACCTCTATTATCTCGTATTCTAATGTGAAGGATTGTAGAAATACTCCAAGATACGAAATTTATCCAAATAAAAACTCCAATTGCGCATCCAAAACCTATATCAACAACGAAATTGGGATCTAGAATGGATCCATTATTTGCTCTCACAATAATGAGGATTGCGATTATGAACCATAAAATAGATAAAATAAGTTTGGTGATCAAGAAATAGAAAGTGTATCCGAATTTGCGAGTGACTGAGGGTATGGAAAGGACTATGGTAACCAATAAAGAAAGCGAAGAAGACACAAATGTTACGTAAAGATCAGAAGGTAAATTGGTAGAACCAGAATTATGTGTGAGAATAGTAAAAGCACTAACGAGAAAAATGGTGGTTATGGAAAGAATGATATTGAAGAAGCAAAGAATCTGAATTGTTTCAAGTAACGAAGGCATCTTAAGGATTGTTTTAATGTATGATATATACGGAGGTTAATGTGAAAGGTAATTGGCCAGCGGTTATAAATGGAAGGTAAGAGGGTGGGTGAAGAGATGGATAAATGGGTGAAAGGGGGAAGAGGGGAATGAGGATATGCGTATGTGCGTGAAATTAGAGGATTGCGAATGCAAATAACTTAAGAAAATAAAATTTTGATTATAATGCATTCTACGTGTATCTATGGGTACATACACAGGTCTTTGTTATTTTCGTGCAACATTAAAATCTTCTCCTTTAAGATATATTACCGTAATACAGCTTGGCGTCGTGTTTTATTAAATTTGCCATTTTAACTTAATGGTTAAGTTTTATACTTAAAATAACATTAACGTTAATCCTCATCGATTTCCCGCTCTTTATTTGTTTCTTGGTGGCAGTTTACATTATCAATCTTAATCATTGTAAATATATTGTATAATGCAATGCTATTATTATATACTAGATTTAGATTTGAATGTCCAATAAATACCATAGAATTACCGATTCATGGACAAAAATTTGTTTTACTATGTGCATGTATCTATTGAAACATATATTTTAGTACATGAAACATTGTTAAGTGATCATACATGATAAATAAAGGTTCAAAGAAATATTTTTGAACTTATTGGTACAGCTTATGCATTCTGTGCTATGTAAATTTTTACATAAATTCATCTAATCAAATTTCAGATTATGATGAGTCTTTTCTGCACCGGGCAAAGGTGCTTCTAAGCGATAAAAGAACTGCACATCAAATTATTTATTAAACATTATGTTATGTATATGGAGTTGAAAGCCTACAATTATTTATAGAGACAAAATGGTTAACTTTCCACTAGTAACTTTGTAATACTTATTAACAATAAAGTTACCTGTGAAATTTTAAAAATTTTATCTCTAAATATTCAAACATTGAAATATCAGTAATTGTTAAACTTTCAGCACCATATGTAAATTCAAATGTATCATAAAATCACGACCAAAGTCGTTATTTCGAATTATTCGACTTTATAACGCCCCCGTGGTGTCCCGGAATAACGCGCAGGGTTGGACAATTTGGTTGCCCAGCGAAATTCAAAATTTTTTAAAGTTGTCTACAGCTCTTTAAAAATATGTAGCTCCCTTCGGAATTAAACAAATTAAATAATTGGACTGTAGAATACAACCAATCTTTACAAATTAATGTGTCGTGTTCACTGGATATAGCGTTTCCCAACCCTGAACATCGCACATCTCATGAATATTTCAGCGGATTTGTAATGGTGGTGCCAAGGGAAAACATTGTACGTACGTAAGTACAAATTTAAGTTACTGTATCGAACTTCTGAAAAATTGTGATATTACGTAACTTAATCACTGTATAATCAGTGTTCTGCTACACAAATATAGTACAAGTATCTGAAAAATTAGAACATACCTCGGCGACATACGTATAACCAATTTTAAGTAAATCGAATTTATGTTGATGTACAAATATAAACACAAAATTTTTAAGTTCATTTTATGAATCTTTATAATAGCTTTTATTGAATGTATATCTAGTCAAAAATAAATTAAAAAAATTTTTAAAAATTGTCAAAATGGGCCCACCTCATAACATAAGGATTACAGATTACAGGCATAACTGTCAGATGACATGTCATATCTGATGATATATAAGTGTTAGTTTATAATAAAAATTATATAAATTACTATAAAATTTACTTACATATTAACTTAAATTTTGGGGTTAAATATATCGAAAATAGTAGATGATTATTTAAACACTTTTTTAAAACTCTGTAAAAATTGTATATTTCTTAACGGAATTTTTGAAATAAGGAATTTTCTAATTTTGAAAGTATAATTATGTGTAAAATTTTACGCTGAACAAGTTTACTTAGTAAATGAAAATATTTGTAAAAAAATAATTTATTAATCTAAAAAAATTAATTTGTATAGTTTTTTTACTCTTAATATTTATTTTTAATATATACGTATATATTTTTTAGTCTAATTATCTATTTTTTTTAATTTTTTTTTTTTAGTAATTATGCTAATATTTTATTAGATTTACTATATACTTTGTATATTACAATATATGGGCTAGGTGCTGCAAAAAGAGACCAAATTGACAACAAAAAATTTTCAGAAAATTAATTTTTATATTATAAATCTTATAATAAATTATAAGAAAATGCAAAATTTTATTAATACAACTACAGTTGTTTTTTTCTAATCCAAATCTCTCTAATTTGAACCTTAATAAACTCTCTAATATCTAAATTTAAAACTCTAAAACATTTGTAAATTTTATTATAAAGTTTGGATTAGCATATAGGATAAAGTTAATAAAAAAGAGCCAAATTTTTCTCAGTAAAAGTTTTTTTTGAATTTAAGCTTAAATATCTTAGCAATTATCTTATTAAATTTTATAAATTTTTTTATTTTAATTCTATATAATTTCAAAATTAAAATAAAAAAAATTAGCAAATTTGATTAATTATTGTTAAGATATTTTAATTTAAAAATCAAAAAATTGTACTAAAAATAATTTGTCTCTTTTCTATTAACTCTATCCCATATAATATTTCTTTGATAACTAAACTTTTTAATCAATTTTATATATAAGAATAGATGGTTCAAATAGACAAAGTTGACTATACTTTTGTATATTAAATAAAAAATAATTCAAATCTTATTTTAAATTAATTTATATAAAAAAAAAATTTAAAATACTGTTAATTTGGTTTTTTTACAGTATTTAGCCTATATATATAATAGATTTTTCTAGATATCTTTGACTTATTAACTAATTAAAATAAATAAAGATTATATAACTTACTAGCTAGTTAAAAATTTATATAATTAAAATTTTAATCTAATATTTCAAACTTTTTTTTGGTATTAAAATAGGTTTCGAATAGAATAATACTATCTTTACTAATGTCTGGATAAAGCTGAAAGATATAATTAATTAAAAATTAAGGGCAATCTCTAGCTATTTTCTGGATTAGAAGCTTGCTTTTAAAGGTTCATGATTGCAGGTTGCTTCTTTAATAATACTACCTGAATAAAAATTGTAAAGATGCTTTTTGAAAAAATTATATAGGTGTATGGAGAAAGTAGTTTGTAGTTTTTTGTTATCTTTCATATTGTCAGTAATAGAGAAGTTTTAAAACCAGTTAAAGGTTGGATTTAGTTTAGTATATACTTTAGGTTGGCTAGCAGGGGTGTTAGTAGTTTGGTAAGCTAAATTGTTAGAAAGTTGTTGGGCTATGGTAGTATAAGATAGTTGAGTAGTAGGTAAGAGAATATCATGTATAGTGAAAGAGAGTTAAAGATTTATGTGGGTAGTAGTTTTGGTAGTAGAAGTTGTACTAGTTTTAGTTTGTGGGTTAATTTTTATCATGCTTGGTTAGGATTCTGTTGAAGAGATAAAGATGTTAGAATATGCAGAGAGAGGATTGGGAGATGTAAAGAAGTGTTAAGAAGTAGTAATTGTAGTAGTTTGTTGTAAAATTAGGGTGTGAGAAGGTTGTATAGCACTTGGTTAAAATAAAGTAGTTGAGAATTTAGATGTAGAAGTTAGAGAAGATTGAGTAATAGTAAAGGAGAGTTCTGGTTATTTGAAAATAGATAATGGAGTTTGGACTAAGTTTAAAAGTGTGAATAAAATTAATTGTTTAGCTAGTATTTTGGAAGTGTCAGATAAAAGAGAGAGTAGTTCAAGAGTATTATTGTCAGAAAGGCATATTTTATAATAAATGTTATTTTTGTAAAAGATAGCATTTTCATAAAGGTAGTGTTGGCTTTCTCTGAAAGAGAATTTGCATTCAACTGGCTATTAGCATTTTTTGCAATCATGTGTTTCGAGTTGTCTAGTATATAGATGCTGGTAAAATTAAATCAGAGTGGTGAAATGATTTCACCATTTCACTATTCACCACTTGGTATTGGTATAACTAGTGTAACTGGTGAATTGGTGTAATTGGTAAAATTGGTAAATTGGTAAATTGGTGAAATGGTGAATTGGTGAATTGGTGAATTGGTAAATTGGTGAAACAGTGAATTGGTAAGATAGTGGAATGGTAAAATCGTGAAATATTAAAATAGCAAAATCTAAAATTATTCTAGCCTTCATTTTTGTTTTTTACAAATACACTTAGAGGTCTGAACTGTTAACTGTTTATCTGTATATCTGTATAGCATAATACATATCTGGATACCATATGCTTTATGAATAATAACCTTTATCCAAAATATTTAAAAAAGATCCATGAGTATCTATGAATATTTGAATATAACTAATCAAAAAGTAAGAGCTATTTTTGCTATAAGAACTTTATGAACCCTGCATATTTACCACAATGGTAATATGCAGGTTCATAGTATATACCAATTCGAAAATAGTGAAAATAGTAATAATGGCAAAAACCAGTTTATGTTTGGTTAGTATGTGTCATATATGTTTTGAGAACAATATGTCTTTTGGAAAGATTATAAAAATATGTGTATAATAAATAAATCAATACAAATCTTGTTTTCAAATTGAAGGTAATAGGGTGATTCATAACTAAATTACTTCAAAAATAAGTAGATACAGTACAAAATGTCTTATTTTTATTGAAATTAAAAAATGAAATAGAAGTTATTTGGGTACAATCTCAATATAAATCTTGATAATTTTTTTACCAATAATAAGATATCAATCAATTCAATTATTTGCAATAGTTTCAACAGCTCATCGATTTCTTTTTTAACAATATTAGATATATTTTTATAGATGCTATTAGATTATTTTTCTAAAATACTATTTATGTCTTTAATATGTAATTATCAATCAGAAATATAAAGCATATATGTAAAAGATATCAAGTTAGAAAATTCACGATCTTGTTATTATATAAATAAGCTTTCAAATCAAAATAAATAATGATATAAATCACTGATTTTTTGCATTGCTAATTTAATTCAATACAAAACCTGCTCACTTATCTGTGGTATCAGTGATATCTGGTTATTTAAGGGTTTTCGGTTTACCTCAATTTGGTGATCCATAGATAACTGCATAATCTAACAACTGGATTAAAAATTAGTAATTAGTTTTTTTAAAAAAATCTTGTTCCAAGCTCTAGTAATATAAAATCATACCAGTTAATGTACTTTCTAACTATATATTATTAATGTATATTATAATTTAGAATATATCAGGAGAAAAAAAAAAGGTAAAAAAATAGTTATTTCATAAAAGGAAACATCAAGATGTTAAAATTCTAAATACTATATTAATTGATTCATTGATAGTATTACTTTACAACACTTACTTTATATATTAGTGTGTGAATTTAATGATTCAGCCAAATATCGAGTTTGAATCTAGTATCGAATACTAAACCCTATTTATAATGAACTTTAAGCATGTTCTCCAGAAGCTTCTGTGTGGCTTAAAATGTTTAAATATATAATTATTGATCAGAAATATAAGGCATATATATGAAAGTTAACAAGTTAGAAACTTCATATTCATAAAAAGTATTTAGGGGTTTTCAGATTATCTCAATTTGGTGATCCATGAATAACTGTATAATCTAATAACTGGATTAAAAATTAGTAATTAGTTTTTTTAAAAAAAATCCAGTTCCAAGCTCATACTAATTGTTAATATGCTTTCTATCTATATATTATATTATCGATGCACATTATAATTAGAATATATCAGGAGTAAAAAAAAAATTTAAGAAAATACTGTCGGCCCTCCCCAAACCGATCCTATCAAAACCGATATCCTGCCATAATCGGTTAAAAATCGATCCACCGGGCCTGTTCCCTAATTCATACCTGATAACCTGCCATTCCTGATATCCGATAGGCCAGATACATAAGTTCCTGATTTGTCGGATCTGATCACATGATCGTTGCCCAATTAAAATCGGGAATTTTAATGTGATAGACTCAAGCGATTACGACGTACGTACAAAGAACGGTTCAGATTATGGCTTTTTCATATTACAGGAGATTCGCCAATGTAATTTTATTTTATTTTTTATTAATTGTTACAGTTAACTCTCTTTAAGTGCAATTTATTAGAACTTAGAGCGCGGTTTTATTTATTACAAAATTTCTCAAAGAATCCGTCCTCCCATGTAAGTTATTTTAGTTAAAAAAAAAAAAAAAAATTCAAGTTTTGAAGTACTGCTCCAATTTATTTTGGACTTGCTTACTAGCTTTTTCTTTTCGAACTTCCTCACGAATACAGGTTTGTAGCTTGCGTAATGATTTCATTGTTACTCCACCATCTTCAATCCTTTCATCAACAATTCTTAAAGCACTACGTAAAATGTTTAATTGTTCCTCCCCAGTTAGGGATGGCACAACAAATTCGTCTTCGATCTGTTCAATTTCTGTAGCGGTGTGAATCAGATCTTCATCGGTAAACTGATGGTGTACTTCTTGTTCTTCTTCAAGGTTTAACAAGTCTTCAATTGGCATTGGATTACGAACATGCAATATATTTATTTGCTGTTGGAGTTCCTTAACTGCTAGTTCATCATTTGGATCAGTTTCTTCCACATCATCAATACCTTCATCAGAAATGGGAGGGACGATAGGTACACCATTTTCATCGCGAGGGGATACAACTTTCGTGCGAAACCAACACCTTTTGATCGTTTCAGCTGACACTTCACTCCAGGCAATCTTAGTCCATTTCATAGCCTATAATTAGAGATACTGTATAAGTTAGTAGAAATTTTTAAT